TCCTCCATGATATTACAGTCAAGTGAAGTGGAAGCCAGTTGTCCCTTCAATGAATATGCCCTCCTCAGTGTCCTCTTGTACTAACCATCCACACGAGCATGTCCCCCAGACCACTCTGCCTGCAGGAGTCTGAGTTGGCGCCCCTCTCACTCTGAGCCTCCTTCAGGTGAGGTGGCAGTGATGGCAAAGCAGGACTTGAGTAAACTGTAGAACACCCAAGAGTAGCCCGTCAACCACAGAAAATCCGGCGTGGCTGCTCACACTGTAATCCCAGCACTCTAAAGGCAGAACGGGGATTTAGAGAAATTCGAGGTTAACCTGGACTACACCGAGACCCTCTCTGAAAAGCAAAGGGCTGTCAAGATGGCGGTGTGTGAAGGCATTTGCTGCCAAGCCTGATGACCTGAGTTCAATCCCCAAGTGAGAATCTATTCCCCACTCACAAACACAAGTAAATAAATGCAGTAAAAATCTTAAAACAACAGAAAAGAAAGCAGAAAGAGGACTGCCAAGGATACCAGGGGGGGAAAAATCCTTTCTAAAAGGGCTAAGCAGATACCAGAAAACCAAGCCATACAAAAGCACCAGAGAAAGAAGTAGCTTCCATTACTAACCAACACTAATATCAAATTTCTTGTGTATTTTGTACATTTAAAGTTTAGAATGACTTTATTTATTAATGCAATAAAAAGGAAAGGAAATCTTCACTTAGTACAATGTAATGGTTATGCGAGAATCTTTTTTGGAGTTTTTATGAAGTTTGCGTTACGTTGTAGCCATGAAAACAGGATTGCATGTTTCTCTTCAAGCTATGACTTTAAGAGAAAGCTAAGCTATAGTTCTGTGTCCAGAGAACAATCTGATACGCTGGGAGATGGTTAGTCACTCAATCACAAGCACGAGGACCCGAGTTTTCATCCTCACCATCCTGTAAAAGCCAGGCACAGTGATACACATCTGTAACCCCAGTGCGGGGGAGGCAGAGGCAGGCAGATCCCAGAAGTTCATTAGTCAGCTAGTCTAATTAAATCAGTGAGTTATAGGCTCAGTGAGAGACCATGTGCAAGTTATCAAAACATGTTTCTGCTTCTCTGTGATTCAGAGACAAGGAGAGTTTCCACCTTATTAGACCATCATGGGCATTGGATGGGGAAATATACAATTCATGTTTAATGGAGATTAGTATACAGTAAGGGCAATATATGTCCACAACTATTATCCAGAAAAAAATTCCCCCTCAAATTCACCATGGATTTCTATTATTTTTCTTTGTTGATTTCTGTTTTGTTTGTTTTTTTGTAGTACAGGGGATCAAATCCGGAGCTTCCTTTGTTCTGGGCAAATATCCTACCACTGAGCTACAACACAAGCCCACTTAGGTATGCAGTGTAAGACTCGGGTAGTCAGTGTAAGATTGTTTCTAAACACTTAAATACAGATATAAAGCAAAATTTGATGAAGCCTTTGAAATAAAAACAGGTCTCTATGTGCAGATAAATGAGGTACAATATTTTTTCATAAGGCACACATATAGTATAGGCTATTTCAAACCCCCTATGGAGCAGAGTTATGCCTTGATTTCTTTTGTTTTTTTAAGTGTGTGTGCACACACATGCGTACCAATGAGGGTGAATGCAGGCATATCTGTGGAGGTCAGACAACAAGTTTCAGGAATCTCTCTCTCTCTCTCTCTCTCTCTCTCTCTCTCACACACACACACACACACACACACACATACACACACAGACAGAGAGAGAGAGAGAGAGAGAGAGAGAGAGAGAGAGAGAGACGTCCCTTGTTGAGGTAGGGTCCCTCGAGGCAGGGTCTGCTTCTCTGAGTGGTCCAGGCTAACTGGTGCTTCCTATCTTCACCTCCTGTCTTGCCACAGGAGTGGTGGGATTGGCAGATATCTGCACTGTATCCACCTCTTTATGTGGTCCTGGAGATTGAACTTGGGTCCTTCGGCTTGGGAGGCAAGCACTTTTACCCATGGGCCATCTTCCCAGGCCTTCCTTGAATTCTCGGTCTCCTTGCCTCTACACGTGATGCAGGTGTGAGCCACCAGACCCAGCTTTAGATGTAATTTCGACTAGAGCAGCTCATTTCTCCCGTAGTCTAATATATCACTGACATTACAGGACCAGGACAGCAGCTGGGGAAGTGGACAAAGCCAGGGACTGAGGCCTTAGGAACTGCTCAGCAGGTAAAGGTACCTGCTGCCAAGCCTGATGACCTAAGTTCAAGTCCTGAGACCCACATGGTAGAAGGAGAGAGCCAATCTGGCAACCCTCCCCCTCTCCACAGAAATAAATATGTTTTAAAGGCCAGGAACTGAAAACTAATGGTTCCCAGGAGCATATGGAGAAAAGGGAAGCCATCCTCCCTTTCCCAGTGAATTTCTCCTAAAGGTCCTAGTGAGCATACCTACCCAAGGTCTGGGAGACACCAGAAGGCTGGCAGGAATTGTTCCCACTCTAAAGGGAGCTTGGGGGGGGGGGGGGGGAGGAGAGGAAGGGGGAGGGCACAAAACAGTATGGGACGTGGGGCGTGCCACTTCTCAGACTATAGGGACTGTTATCTTGGTGAACTCCGTCCTTCATCAAATAAGTAAATAAATGGCAGTTTTACTGCAACATTGGTGTGAAGATTAATACAGCAAGATTCCTTTCCCTTCTCACTTTAAAAGAGAGAAACGCTGAGTGGTAGGCTCCTAGGTATCACTCCTGCGGTGCCTGGAGGGCCAGCCAGCTGAGAAGGGGAATAGGAAGGGCTTCAGACATCTTCTCAAGTTAGGGGTGGTGACACATGCCTGGAACCCCAGCACTTGGATTTGCTAAGTTCAAGGCCAGCCTGAGCTACATGGTGCCTTTGAGGTCAACTCTGGCTGCAGAATGAAATCCTGGTTTTGCTTTGTTTTGTTTTGTTTTTAAGTTAGAAAGGTGGGTAGTAGGGGAGAGGGTAAGGGAAAGCAGGAGGGGGGGGGAGAGAGAGATAAAGAGACAGAAAGACACACAGAGAGAATAAATTCTGGACTGGAAAGTGAGATTCACAGCTGATTTCAAGTTTGGGGCCTACAGCGATTAAGACCTGTTCTGAAGGAAAGCCCAGACTAGGTAGAATGGACTGTTAGTAGAGCTCCCCCTATAGGCAGCAGGAGAAAACGCCAGATTGGGATAGCCACAGAGGCCCTTCATATCTTGACTCCTCTTCCCAATCCCCTCAACAAAATAGAGGACAAAAATAGTAAACAAACACAGGCACATGTGTGTGCACACCATCTGCACACATAATTAAATGCTGTTGTTACAACTTCTGCCAGATATGACTGGCACAAAGCTAGAAGGCTCTGACTCAGCAAAAGACAAAGTCCATGGTTAAAAGGTCATCGTAGGCATTTTGCAAATACAGTACCCTAACTGGGACATGCAGCTCTTGCCTGTAACCCCAGAACTCTAGGAAGGAAGGCTGCGAGATGTAGGTCTTCCTTCTACTAGGGTACATAGTCACGTTTTCTCAATAATTATTATCCTTTTATTAATAAGAGAAAACCATACGTGCTTTAGAAAGGCCAGCAAGACACTTTCACACAATCTACAGTAATTGAAAATGAACACGAGAAAATGTTAAGTCGTGGCATCTTAAAATAATGCATAGGGGCGATGGTGGCGCACGCCTTTAATCCCAGCACTCGGGAGGCAGAGGCAGGTGGATCTCTGTGAGTTCGAGGCCAGCCTGGTCTACAAGAGCTAGTTCCAGGACAGGCTCCAAAGCTACAGAGAAACCCTGTCTCGAAAAAAATTAAAAAAAAAGAAATACTTATTAAAGGGGGGGGGGCTGGAGAGATGGCTCAGTGGTTAAGAGCATTGCCTGCTCTTCCAAAGGTCCTGAGTTCAATTCCCAGCAACCACATGGTGACTCACAACCATCTGTAAAGAGGTCTGGTGCCCTCTTCCGGCCTGCAGGCATACACACAGACAGAATATTGTATACATAATAAATAAATAAAATAAATATTTAAAAAAAAATATTGAGTTGCATTTGACCCCCAAATTCTGAGCACGGACCTGCTATTTCTTTTATCCAAATTAACTTGGGGTTCCTTGTTGCTGTAAAGTTTGAGATGTATCCAGAGAATGAAGATGCTGTTTGGGGTGATTTGCTATGTTCAATCCTCACATCCTATTGCTAATAATAATAATAATAATAATAATAATAATAATAATAATAATAATAATAATAATGTCTCACTACGTAGCCCTGGTTGACCTTGAACTCACAGAGAACCTCCCACCTCTGCCCCCCAAAGCCTGGGGTTAAAGGTCTGGGCCTTGATTGTTTCCATTTACTAGTTGGCCAGACTTCAGCCTTGCAAGTTGCTTGACCTACAGCAGCTAGGACATGCAGCATACGAATCTACTTGCAAAGATCCACCAGAGGAAATATGCAAAAAAGCATGCAAGGGGAATGCCTGAGCCTCACTTCGACCCGACCCTGGTTGAATGGTTTACCCCATATCTCAGTACTCAGGAGCACCCTGCTTCGAATTCATGAAGAAGGATATGAAGAAAAGCATGCAAAGGACAGATTACCGAGCTGCACTTCGCCCCTCATCGAATAGTGGTCCCCAGTCCCAGTGTTCAAGAGCTGCAGCATGCAGAACCTCTATATTAGCCTTGGTTAACATATTGCCGGGGCTCCTGTCACCGTTAAGACCTAAGAAATGCCAAGTGAGCACCCGACCCCGGGAAAGGTGGCTTTATGTGCGCAAGTTCATTTTACTAGCAGGCCCGCGGGGAGCACAGGCCGGTTTAGAACCATGCAGCTCCTGGAGCACAGGGAGGGGGCGCTCTCGGCGTCCCCGCCACCCTCAGCGGCCGTCCCCGTCGCCAGCCCCGCCACCCTGCGCGTCCCCGTCGCCGCGCTCCCGCTTTCCCGCGACCCCTGAGCTCCTGCTCACTCGCTTGCCTGTCCCTTGCCTCTGTCGCCGCCACTGCGGGGCCATGGCGACCCGCTTTCTGCTGCGGAGTTTCTGGGCCGCTCGTCCGGCGCTACCGCCTTCCGGCCGCTGCCGCCGCCCGGAGCCCGCGGGAACCCAGCGTCGCAGCTACGCCCGCGGCCCCGCTGGCCTCCCCGCCGACCTACTCCGCGGGGACAGCTTCGTGGGAGGCCGCTGGCTCCCGGCCCCCGCCACCTTCCCGGTACACGACCCGGCCAACGGCGCCACACTGGGCACCGTGGCCGACTGCGGGGTGCCCGAGGCCCGCGCAGCCGTGCGCGCCGCCTACGATGCCTTCTGCGGCTGGAAAGGGGTCTCTGTCAAGGTGAGAGCGCTGTCAGGTGCAGGCTCGGCCTCTGGGGGAAGCAGATACCCAAAGTGAACCCAGCGCGTGACACCCCCAGCCCAGTTCCCCGGGGTACACAGAGCAACAACAAAAAGACACAAATAAGTTTGGAGCTTGGGATCGGTGCCCACCATGTTGTCAGATCCCCCGTTTTCAAATCTCAAATAAGAGAGAAGAATAGGGGTGCATAATAAAAGTGAGCTGAATACTGTTAGCTCTCTCTACCTCTCCTGTGAGTGAGTGTGTGTGTGTGTGTGTGTGTGTGTGTGTGTGTGTAGAAGGGGCAGGAGAGAGAGCACTATATATGGGAGCTATAGGTAGAGGCTGTATATCTGTACGTGTAGGCTGCACGTGGAGCTGTTTGTGTAGGGGTTGTGTCAAGGACACTGAGAAAGGCTGTGTGAGCTTTGTTCAGGGGAGAGAAAAGCCCAGGTGCAGTCTCTGATTTTCAGTCTTAATGGGAAGGGCTGTCACTTGGGTGGACAATGAGGGGATAGACGGTAAGACAGAAAACTAGTTTAGAAATTTTCTTCCTCCTTCATGTATGATGTTACCCCTGCAGTCAACACTGAAATCATGGCTTCCCTATCATTCACAACCTCCCTGAAAATAGGTGCCTACTGATAAGGGCAGAAACCCCAGAGTCTTAACATCCACCCACTCAAGGGGGAGTTACTGAGCGCTGGCTACCTGTCACATATTTCTGGGGTGCTTGGAATGCTGAGCCAAAGAAAAGCAGGATGGGCAGGGGAGCTGGAGTCCAGCCCTGAAGAGGCACTTGCTGCTTTGAGAGAACTGGGTTCAGTTCTCAGCCCTCCCATGGTGACCCTTTAACAGCCTGTTCCAGGGAATGGCAGGGACTCAGAAGGTGCACATACATACATGCAGGCAGAGATCCAGCCTCTTGTAGAGCTCTTGTGATGCATTGTGTTCTTGGGATCCAAACTACAAACAATAAACACCTTCCTCAGCAAGAAAGTGTGTTGAAGGTGATGGATAATATGGGGAGCAAAGACACAGGCAGGCCCAGAGGTCAGAGGTCAGGAAGAAGGACCAGGAGCAGAACAGAATACAGGTCTGTGAGGATGTCACAGCAAAGTACTGTTTGGGTGGCTTAAAAAGTGACAGAATTGTGTCTCCCTGCTATTCTGGAGGTTAGAAGTCAGAGGTTGTGCTGGCTAGGGTTATGTCAACTTGACACAAATTAAAGTCATCTAAGGGGAAGGAACTTCAATTGAGAAAATGCCTCCATAAGATCAGGTTGTAGGGAAATCTGTAAAGCATTTTCTTAATTAGTAGTTGAAAGGGGAGGACCCAGCCCATGGTGGGTGGTGCCTTCCCTAGGCTAGAGGTCCTGGGTTCTGTAAGAAAGCAGGCTGAGCAAGCCATGGGGAACAAGCCAGGAAGCAGCACCCCTCCATAGCCTCTACATCAGCCCCTGTCTCCAGGTCCTGTCCTTTTTGAGTTCTGGCCCGATTTCCTTTGATGATGAACTATGATGTGAAAGAGTAAACCAAATAAACCCTTTCCTCCCAACTTGCTTTTAGGTCGTGGTTGTTTGTTGCAACAACAGAAACCCTAAGACAGGACAAAATGGCGGCAGGCCTGGCTTCTTCCTGAGGCCTCTTTCCTTCGCTTGTAGACTTTGTTCTTGGTTCTGTCACCATCACCTTCTTCTGGGACCAGTTGCTGATTTAGGGCCTAGCTGAACTTTATTTTGCGGGGGAGGGGAGCGGTTTCCATACAGGGTTTCTCTGTGTAGCCCTGGCTGTCCTGGTACTAGCTCTGTAGACCAGGCTGGCCTCGAACTTACAGAGATCTGCCTGCCTCTGCCTCCTGCGTGCTGGGTACCTAGCTAAACTTAATCACCTCTTTAAACTTTATCCCCAAGCATGGTCTCATTCTGAGGCACTAATGAGGAGGATCTAGACGTCAACACCTAACTCTAGAAGGGGACACATTTCCTCATATAACTTCAAGGTCAGCCTTCCTTAGGATGTAAGGACTAAGAGAGGTAAGGGGGAATCCTGAACTACGCAGAAACATGGCTACTTGGTTTCCAGAACAGCAAGGAGGTCCTTGTGGCCCATAGTGGACCAAGAACTAGGAAGGAATGCAGGAAGCTGTCATAGAGGCGGCGGAGAAGGGGCTGCTTCCGTCAGGACCTGTGGACCATCCAAGGACTTCCAGCTTTACTTTGACAGAGTGCGTGGACAGGAATACCCCAACCCTGATGCTGATGAGAGGCTGTAAGAGGGCCCTGGTAGAAACAGGCCTGTTAAGAGGCGCTATTGACCTGCCTTTGTCTTTTGTTTGTTTGTTTTTATTAATAAGGAAATTCCTGGGGCAGGCTAACTTTATAAGGAAAATAATTTTGCTCTTCCTATGGATTTAGCTGGTAGAAAACGAAGATGAATAACAGCCTGTACTGTTTGGAGGTCTGTGGGCTAACAGCTCCAGAAGATTTAACCCATTCCTGGCACTGAGCTCCTTATTTGTTAGCCTGTGGTACCCAGTAAGGGCACTGTTAGAGAGTAACTTCATTTCAGTCAGTCAGTCTGTCTGTCTGTCTGTCTATGGGACTTCTACAGTAGAAGATAAGCTTCCAATGACTTCTTTAAAAAGGATTTTAGTGTCATTTAAGGCTATGGCCAGTGCTATTGGTGATCTCCTAGACCTTGATGGTAAGACCCATTCCCAGCACTGAGGAGGTTAAGTACATACCATGTATTTGAGTCATAGCACATGGAGGTATCAAGCTGGTTCTGATCTAGAAGCTTCATCTCTACTGGATATATCTGTCACAGTGCTGGGCAGTGTACACTGATGGACTTTTTGTCCACTTGACACAAGTAGGGTTATCTAGGAAAAGGGAATCTTAATAAGAGTATGATTGGCGTGTAGGCAAGCCTGTAGGGCATTGTCTTGATTGATACGAGATGTGGGTAGTACTGCCCCTGAGTAGGTGGCCCTCGGGTATGTAAGAAAGTAGACTGAGCAAGCCATGAAGGGCAAGCTAGTCAGCAGCACTCCTCCGCCGTCTCTGCCTCCAGGCTTCTGCCTCCAGTTCTTGCCCTGACTTCCTTCGATGACTGCCTGTGAGGCAGAAGTGTAGGATGAAATAAGCTCTTCCCCAAACTGCGTTTGGTCATGGTGTTTTAGCATAGCAATAGAAACATATATTGCTGTGACAGACCTGGCCCTGCGTTTGGGGGAGGATTGTGGTACCATTGGAACTTTGGCTGGAAAAGCTGTTGAGTGCTCAGAACTCACTGGGCTGCTCTGTAGGAGTCTGGAAAATAATGTTGAAAGCAATAAAGATGATGGGGGCCTAGAATGTGAAATTGCAGAGGGAAGTTTCAAAGTTCCTTAACGACTCTATCAATGCCTTTTAGGTGGTATTTTGAATTAAGAACTACTAAAGCAAAGTTTTTGCTTTTCTGCAGCAATCAATGCTGGTCAACAGGAGCTGAGAAATTAGTGGTGGTTAAAAAGAGCCCAGCAAGTTGGGCATAGTGGTGCACACCTTTAATCCCATGTAGAGGCAGGTGGATCTCTGTGAGTTTGAAGCTCTACAGAGTGAGTTTCAGGACAACCAAGGCTACACAAAGAAACCCTGTCTTGAACAATCAAAAGAGAGATAGAGAGAGAGGGAGGGAGGGAGGGAGAGAGAGAGAGAGAGAGAGAGAGAGAGCAACAACAGTAGATGCAATCTTCTGGTGAGTATTTCCTTGAGGTTAGCATACAGTGACAGTGGCCCAGAATTGGATGGGGCTGCATCTTACACTGAAAGCCAACTTTGGTAATGTATAAGAGTTTGTGGTACTGTTTTGAAGTCATGAAGGATCATTGAGAGTGGAGGCTTGATGCTGTATGGCAGGACTGGAGTCCCTAAAGAAAGACCAGGAGAGCCACTGGTAAAGAAGGTACAGCCTTAGTTGCATGAGAAGTCCGAGGATTGAAGGGGTCGTAAAGAAAAGTTGAGTCATGGCACCATGTGGCAGGGTCAGAGTCCCCAAGGAGAGCCTAGGAGAGGCTATTGGTGAAGGTGCAGTCCATTCACATCAGGACAACTCAGCGATTGGAGATGCCAATACGATGATGGGATGGCCACCAGGGACAGTAGCAGCTGTGGTGTAGAGCCAACTTGAGCCTGTGACATAAGCTGTATGTGCTGTGGCTGACGGAGCTGGAGAATGGCCGCTGCCAAGCCCAAGATCATAAGCTCCAGATGTCTGACACCGAGCTCAGCACAGCTGGACTTTGGTTTTGCTCTAATCTGATTGGAACTATGCCTGGTTTCTTTCCTCTTATAATAAAAAGCATTGAACTTATTTTCAGTTTATAGGAGCTAACAGTTAAGAGATTTTGGAATTTTACAAATATTTGGATATTTAGAGAGATTGGGGGTATTTTAGAGAGAATTTTGATGTTTTAGAGAGATTTGATGTTTTAAAGAAACTGAACTTTCAACGTGTTGAATTTGTAAAGACCACGAAACTCTTAAAAGTAGAAATGCTTTTACGTTGTGAGATTTATATGACCGTGATATCCAGAGAGCAACGAGAAGAAGATGTGGCCTAAGTGGTGTGTTTGTGTGTGAGGTTGACAAGCTGTCAGTTGTTATGTCAACTTGACACAAGGTGAGTCATCTGGGAAGAAGGAATCCTAATCAAGAAATACGTCCGTAAGACTGGCCTGTAGGACATTTTTATGACTGATGATGGATTTGGAAGGGCCTAACCCACTGTAGATGGTGTCACCCTGGGCATGTGGTTCTAGGATATACAAGAGAGTAGGCTGAGCAAAGCACAAGGAGCAAGCCAGTGAGTAGCACTCCCTCATGGCCTCTGCATCAGCTCCTGTGTCCAGGTTTCTACCTCCAGGTCTATCGAGGTTTATGCTGGGGTTAGCCAGCCCCCTAAACTTCTCAGGATGCAGAAGGATCGCTATACAAACAAAAACTGATGAAAGATATC